CCCCTGTTTACCAGCCCCTCCTATGCCCCTCCTTTGTCTTTCCTGTTTTGGCTGCCGTTTTTCTGCATGCTGTAGCTGTTGAATATCATGCACTAACTTTGTTTTCTGCCTCCCTCCCCTCCTGCCCCCCTCCCCTCCTGCCCCACCAGGTCACCTGGCACCATTTGAAGATTCCAGTAGAGGAATCTGAGCAGCTGACAGCAGGAGAAGCAGCAGGAGCAGCAGCAGCAGCAACGACAGCAGTTCGGGCCGGGTGGTTAGAGGGCAGGCTAGGAGTAGGATTAGGAGTGTGGGAGGTATAGTAGCAGGTCAGGTATGGTCGTCGCATCTCTCTGTTCCCTCCTTCCTTCCTGCAGCATGTGGATCTGGAGCCTTGGAGCACGGGCAGGAGAATCGAGCCCACCCCCTCGCTCACCTCTTCTCCTCTCCCGCTCTCCTTCCCCCAGAAGCATCACGCCGTGAGGAGAGTGCAGTTCCCACCCTCACCTCCCCTCCCCCTCCTTAGCAGGTTGCAGCAGCATGGTGCTCTATCCGGCAATGGTACGCGGAGTGGAGGCTAAGGTGGTGGTAAGTTAAGGGGACGGGGCGGAGCTTGGGGGTAGGGGGGGGGTGTGGTTCGGCAGCATTGGAGCAAGCATGCAACTCACTCCCTTAGGGGGCAGCACCCTCTGTGGTTCGTGGCTTGTTGGTCGGCGGTGGTCAGTGGAAAATGCGTGGCACGGCAATCGTTCCTCAAGTACCAACACTAGTGGCGTATCGTATAATGGAACCGGCCAGAGCTGTGCGCGCCAGCTCTGGTTGGGAGTCCCCTCCTACGACGCTGAATGTGGCGGGATTTGAGTCTTGGGCCGCCCGTGCATTTTCCACTGCCACTACTCGCCCTGCAAGGCACAGCCGTGGGGGGTGCTGTTTCCAAAGGGGAGTGGGTAGCTTGCTGCTCCTAGTTCTTGGAGGGGGGAGGTGGGGAGGAGAAGGTGGGGTTGGGAGGTAAGCTGGGAGGAAACACCCCCGGGGAAAGTTGAGTGAGGGGCGATGGAGGCGTGTGCAAGCAACCACTGTAAGTTGAGTGAGGGGGAGAGGGGAAGGGGGGGCAGAAGCCCCCCTGGGGTGAGGAGAATGATGGGCAATGGAGGCGTGTGCAAGCAACCATTGTAAGTTGAGTGAGGGGGAGAGGGGAAGGGGATGCTGAAACCCCCCTAGGGTGAGGAGAGTGATGGCCATTGGAGGCGTCTGCAAGCAACCACTGTAAGTTGAGTGAGGGGGAGAGGGAAAGAGGGATGAGAACCCCCAGGATAAGTTGAGTGAGGGGCAAAGAGGGGCGGTGAGAACCCCACAGTAGTGTGGGAGCAATGCAGGGGAGGGGGGTCAGAGCTACCTGGGTAAGGCTTGCAAGGGGCAGGGGGGGAGAGGGGGGTTTAAACCCTCAGGTTGAGGTGAGCAAAGGGCAGAGGGACCCCCCCCTTCTGCCTTGGGCTCGCCTTAGCCTGGGGGTTTCAACTCCCCTCTCTTGCCTCTCAAGCGTCTTACCTTGGGAATTCCAACCCTCCTCCCGTGTCTTGCCCTTGTGCTGCTGTGAGGGTTTCAACTTTCACCCCCTCGTCTGCCCTAAGGCGGGTGATTGGAGGGTAAGGGTTGAGCCTAGAGCTCCACATGACAGGCAGCAAATGATGATGCCCCACGTGTTGCCTGATGCAGTAAGCCCTGTCATGAGGCTCGCTGGTTTACCCCTTCCACTGTGGCCCGGGTGAGGGGGGAACAGACCCTAAATATAGAGGTGAGTGAGATGGGTGAGGGGGTTTCGGACCCCAACTATGGAGGTGAGTTAAACGGGTGAGGTGTGGGGTTTTCATACCCCAACCATTGAGGTGAGTAAGGTGGGTGAGGGGGTTTTAGACCCCAACTATAGATGGGTGAGGGGGTTTCCGACCCCAACTATAGAGGTGAGTGAGATGGGTGAGGGGGGTTCGGACCCCAACCATAGAGGTGAGTGGGATGGGTGGGGGAGAGGGGAAAGAGGGCCTGAAACCCTTAGGGTATGTTGGGTGCTGGGCAATGGAGGGGGGATATTTTGAGTGAGGGGCAATGGAGGGCATCTGCAGCCACTGGAGAAAGTGAACAGGGCTGGAGGGAGGAAAGGCGGGTCCTGGGTAAGTTGAGTGAGGGGCAAAGGAGGGCGTCTGCAACCACCAGAGTAAGTGGAGTTAGCTGGGGAGGAAAGAAGGGCCCTGAAACCTCCTGGGTAAGTTGAGTTAGGGGCAAATGAGTGGGGCTAAAACCCCCCAGGGTGAGGGGCAATGGAGGCGTCTGCAGCCACCACTGTCAGTTGATTGAGGGGCGAAGAGGAGTGGTGAGAACCCCACAGTAGTGTGGGATAAATGCAGGGGAGGAGGGGGGCTGGAACCCCCTGGGTAAGGCTTGCGGGAGAGGGGAGTTGAAACCGTCGGGTTGAGGCAAGCAAAGGGCAGAGGCAACCCACCCCCCTTCTGCTTTCGGCTCGCTTTAGCCTTGGGGTTTCAACCCCCCTATCTTGCGTCTCTACAGCCTTACCTTGGGAGTTTCAGCCCCCCCCCCCGTGCCTTGCCCTCGTGCTGCCATGGGGGCTTCGCGCCCCTCTTCTGACTTAAGGCGGGTGAGTGGAAGGGAAGGGTTGAGCCTAGAGCTCCACACAACAGGCAGCAAATGATGATGCCCCGCGTGTTGCATGATGCAGTAAGCCCTGTCATGTGCCTTAGCCCTGTCCTGATATTTTGGGACAGGTGCGTGGGGTCCAGATTTCAACGAGAGGTGAGTGAGACAAGTGAGAGGGGCTCATACTTCAAGTATAGAGGTGAGATAAGTGAGGGGATTTCAGACCCCAACTATAGGGGTGAGTGAGATGGATGAGAGGGTTTCGGACCCCAACTATAGGGGTGAGTGCGATGGATGAGAGGGTTTCGGACCCCAACCATAGAGGTGAGTGAGATGCGTGAGGGGGTTTCAGACCCCAACTATAGAGGTGGGTGGGCGTCTGCAATCACCAATGTAAGTTGAGTGAGAGGGAGAGGAGAAGGGAAGGCTGAACCCCCCCTGGCTGAGTTGAGTGAGGAGCAATGGAGGCGTCTGCAAACACCAGGTCAGTGACTCAGAGGGAGGGGATCGAGCAGGGGGGGCTGAAGCCCCCCAGGGAAGGTTGAGTGGGTGGCAAAGGATGAGTGAGTTGAATGGGTGGGAATGGAGGGGTGGTGAACTCCCCATGGAGTTATGAGAGCAAGGGCAGGGGAGGGGGGTTGGAACCCTCAGGGCAAGGCTAGAGAGGGGCAGGGGGGAGATGGGGGTTGGAACCACCAGATTAAGGCGAGCAAGGGGCAGAGGGAAAACCCCCCCTGATGCCTTCTACTCGCCTTAACCTGGGGCTTTCAACCCCCCTCTCTTGCCTCTCAACTGCATTACCTCGGGAGTTTCAGCCCTCCTCCTGTGTCTCGCCCTCGTGCTGCCATGAGGGTTTCACCCGCCTTCTGCCCGAAGGTGAGTGAGTGGACGGGGGCAGGGTTGCGCCTAGAGCTCCGCATGCCAGGCAGCAAATGATGATGCAGTAAGCCCTGTCATGTGGCTCACTGGTTGACCGCCTTCCACTGTGGGACGGGTGGGGGGGCTCACACCGCAACAACAGGGGTGGGACAAGTGAGGGGGAGGTGAGGGCGATCCAGACCACAACTAGAGAGGTGAGACGTGTGAGGGGGGGTTCAGTTCACACCCCAGTAACAGAGGTGAGACGTGTGAGGGGGGGTTCAGTTCACACCCCAGTAACAGAGGTGAGAGGTGAGGCAGGTGAGGGAGGTTTAGTCCCCAACTATAGAGGTGAGACGGGTGAGGTGAAGTTAGACCCCAATGAAAGAGGTTGAGACATCAATTATTGAGGTGAGGCAGGTGGAGGGTGTTCCAGGGACCCCAAGCTATAAGGTGAGGCGCACAAGGTGAGACAGTGAAGGCCTGGCCCTAAATGCAAGGTCTGGCACCTAAGGGCGCTTGCAGTCAGTTGCTGCAGGTTTAGGCAGGAGAGGTGGCTTCACCACAGGCTGGCGAGCGATTCAAGTTCAGGACAAGCACTTGGTGGGGACCCAGGGAATTTTTCCGCTGGTAGCAATAGATACTGGCAGGTTCAGTGAGACCTGGAAAATTATGCAGGGTACTTCGCCCAGTTCAGACGCCAAACAGAAGAGACAGGAAGAGCGGAAGGGGCAAAGCTGGAACTTTGATACAGCCGAAATACGAAAGGATGCATGGGTTGTTAGACAGCAGCGTCTATGTGGAGAATGTAAACCATATGTTGGAAAGGATTGTGTATATTGTATTAGAAATATGGAGGAACCTCTCTTATGAAGTGATGATAATTCGAGGAAGAAATGTTTCCTCGTTTAATTCCTCGGTATAAAAGTGAATTATCGAGGCTCTTCTTGACGATGTACTTCAGTTCCAGCGCCAGGTTCATGCCTTTTGTCGGATGCAGGAAAGCCGGAAGCGACAAACAGCTGTCACCCTAGGGCACTTTGTCGTCTTGTCTCTGCTGCTATGTTCGGTGAGATTGAAACGAGTGGTGGTGATTGAACATGAATCTCCGTTGCTGATTGACCCGTTAGAAGCTTTGCTTTGCGCACTGTACATTGATTGTTCCTGACGAAGAACTCTTTGTGCAGGTGAGGTCTCCTCCAGTCATGGTGTCAGTTGCCTTTTCATCCAATCATAACACACACAACCATCCACGCAATAAGTACCACGTGGAGAGACCAAGGGTAGCGCAAGCTCGGTGGCAGGGAGGGGGGGGGTTGGGGTGAGGGGAAGGGGATGACTTCTGCAAGGAGCAGCACCAGTGCGCTGCGCAGCCGCTCCCGCCCACGGATTTTGCGTCGCCTTGCCCTCCAACGCAACCCTCCCCCTTCGCCAAATCCCTAGATGAAACGGAGCTTCGCATCGCAGCTCTTTCTATCTCCTTGTTTAGTTCGAAATCTTCAGAGAATCCGTCATAATATTGCTCTCCCTTACGTAGTACAATATCGCACAAGGAAGCTCTCATCTCGTCAACGGCTTTACATTCTTCGCCGTTTCGTCTTCTTGCACCGCAGAGGAAAGCCTTCGTTTGGTACTGGCATTAGAGCCGCTCGTCGCAGGCGAGAAGGCGTCGCAGGCGAGAAAGCGGCGCAGTGAGTCCAATTCAGGTACTCGCAGCTCGCATTCTGCTGTCGGACGATTGTCTGTCAACCGTCGCGTTCAGTCATCCGCCGCGGATTAGCACGATTTCACGACTTCGCCTTGCGGAGGATTACTCGTGCGGTGGATAACGAGTCCGGTTCAAGCGGTTCTCTCCCCGCAGTCTCCTCTCCGATTGTTTCTGCGGTGGGTGTAAGAAAGCTTGGCAACGAATAGCGCGCCGAGCGTGCGGATATGCAGCGGATGGAAATCCACTCGCTTTCCGCCTCAGCCGCCACTCGTTATGCCTTTCACGAGCGCGAGAATCGCGATGTGATCCGCGAGGCGAATACTTTTTGAGGCAATGCGGGAGCGCGCCTCGGAAGTCGCACTCTTACCTGACAGCGCGCTTTAATGGCCAGCGAGTCGCCTCTGCATCGCCCCCAACCGCACGTTCACCCTGCCTTCTCCTCAGCCTTTTCATCCGCCCTCCCTGCGTCCTTCGCGTACCATCAGAGTCCTCTCGAGATCGTACATTCCTCGCGTCTCGCCGCACCTCCTCGTGCTGCGTCCACGTGTCACGCAGAAGCAGCAGCTGTAGCCAGCGCTGCTGTCGCCGCTACAGCTGGCACTGTAGCCGAATCTCGTTCCGCGCCACCTGCCGTCTCCGCTAGCGCAGCAGCTGCGGCTCCCGTTTTCCAAGAAATTTTGGAACGCGAGTCTATTCGAGGAGATCCTGCATCGAAGATCCAGAATCAACGGTCAATGGAGCCGGCTAGTCAACCGGCCACAGTAGATAGCGCAACAGATAGTGCCCCTCGAGTAGCCTCTTCCCTAACTTGCGATTATGACGATCAGGAGATCGACGGCGGTGATTTCGTCCGCTACCACAGCGATCCGCGGCCGAAAAAGTCCGGCGGAATGCGCATGTCCAACCTGGGGAAAGCGCTAGGGTTGCGCGAGTCGGGGCGGGGGGAAGCGGATGTAGCGAGCGGAGGCGGAACCAGCGGCGCGAGCTCCGCGCGACCAGCTGCGGCTTCCGCCTCCTCTGCGCAGCTGCGCCATCACCGCAGCTACCTCAAGCAGATGTCGATGCCCGCGGGAAAAGCCGCCACCGAAACAGCCGTCATAGCCCCAGCCCGCGGAACAGAGGGGAGGAGCGGGGGAGCAGGCGGGGGAACGGGTGGCGGAACGGGGGGAGATAAATTGCGATGGGGGCAGTGGATGGGCCGTCCGCAGCATCAGGAGGGGAGAGGGGGAGGGAGGGGCGCGGGGGAGGCGAGCGGAGAGAGCGGGGGAGGGGCGGGTCCTGGCGTGGGTTGGCTGGATGCATCTGGACGGTCGGATTTCGCTATCATTGTGACGAGGACAAGTGGCGCGATCTGGTTGGAGGAGATGCACAAGCGGCGGGTGCACCACGGTCTGTGCGGGCTTGGGCGGGAAAGGAAGAGCCTAGAGGCGTTTGCACAGGCGCAGCAGCGGAAGGCGGAAGGGGAGGGTGTAGCGGGGGAGGAAAGCCTAGGGGGATCTGGGGGAGAGGGGGGACCGGGGGGAAGATCAGGGGGGAAGACACAGAATCAGGGAGAAATGAGGAGGATAAGGAGGGGAGGGTGATTGCTGTTGTTTCCGCGCCTGCTTCACTGGCTATTCCGCCTAAGCTAGTCCCTGGCGCTTTAAAGCGTGCCCCTCTTACCAGGAAGGTTAAGAGAGGACTAGAAGGGGTGGGAGAAGGCGCAGTGTACAGTGGAGTCACAGTAGAAGGTGTGCTTATAGGTGGGGTTGTGCAAGCGGGCAATGCCGCGAGTGGCGGTGGCGGGGGGTCTGCTGGTGCGGATGGGGATACGGGAAAAGAGGTGGGGGAAAGCAGAGGTGGCAGTAGGGGAGATGAAAATGGGGGGGTCGGCGGAGAGGGGGGAGGGGGGGGCGGAAGTAGAGAAGGGGGAGGGGGAGGCAGTGGGGAAGAGGAAGGGGATCGGGAGGAGCAAGGGTCGCATCCTGAGCCGCAAGGAGAGGAGGGGGAGGGGGAGGAGGAGGAAGAGGAAGAGGCATTAAGAGGAGACGAGGAGAAAGACGATGAGGAGGCTGGGGGAGGAGTGGCGCGCAGGTCAGTCAGCAGCAACAGCGCGATGGGCGGCGCAAGAGGAGCGAGAGGCTCAGCAGCAGCAGGGGGGGCACGGGCAGCAGCACAGCGGACAGCCAGCGGGGGACCAGCAGCGTACGTGCCGCACTGGAGGAGAGCCAGCGGGGGAGGGGACGGGGAGCGGTGGCAGACGGCGCGGTACGAGCCGAGCCCGACGGTGTCTATCGACTGCACCATGTCGTCCACCGCCTCGTCGCCCCTGGACCCCGCGCTCATGCCGTCCCCCTACTACCCGCACCACGTGCTGCCGCACAACCTGCCGCCCCTGCAGCACCAATACCCGCGCCACCAGCGGCAGTTATCGGCCCAGTTCTCCCCCATGGGCCTCCAGTCCCAGCGCCCTCGCTCGCCTCTCTTCTCCATGCCTCAGGATGCCCACCTGCCGCCTCCTCCTCCTGCTGCTGCTGCCGCTGTGGTTTCTGCTGCTGGTATTGGTGCTGGCGGCAGTACTAGTTGTGTGGAGGTTCTGACTGTTGAGGGAGAGTCGGACGGTGAAGCACTGGGAGAAGGTTCAGGGCACGGCGGGCAGCAGAGCTCAGGGCAGGGCGAGGATGAGAGCTCAGAGCAGGGTGTGGGAGCGGGGAGGAGGAGAGTGATGGCGCGGTTCCCTCGGGCCGTGTCCACCCCTGCTGGGATCAGCAGGTCGCCTCTTAGCAGATCGCCCGTTGGCGGGGCCAGCCCTCTCTCCGACCCCAATGCTGAGGACGAGGACGGGGGAGAGGGGGTGAGTGGAGGCGAGATGGAGGAGGGGATGGAGGGGAGTGAGGAGGGGAGTGGGGAGGGGAGTGGGGAGGGGAGTGATGAGGGGAGTGAGGAGGGAGAAGGAAGGAGTCCTCAAATTAGCGATGAGGAGGTGGGTGAGCGGAGAGAGTGGGGAAGCAGGGAGTGTGGGAATGGAGGGGGCATGCAAGAAGCACCAGATGGCATCACAGAGGGCTCAGAACCCCCCAGTCACAGCGCGAACAGTGATTCCTCATCCCCGTTACGACACAATGGAGCAGCGTCAACAGACGCCGAAGCAGCCGCCGTTGCGGCAGCTGCCGAAGCAGCGGACCCGAGCCTGCCGCCGACCCTGGCGTCCCTGGGGAAGAAAGCGGAAGGGATGCTGTCGACCCGAACCTACCGGGACAAGGACGGGATAGAGTGGCACAAGAGGGGTCCGCTGACTGAAGCGGCTGCTGTGGAATTTGACACGGAGCCCATGATTATGCCTGAGGTGGTGGACCGGTATGGGTTCATTGCAGAGGAGGGAAGGGGGGGCGGGAGAGAAGGGGAGGAGAGGGGGGAGGAGGGGAGAGTGCCGGTGGTGGGGGTGCATGGGCCGCAGGCAAGCCTGTTGGAGAAGGAGGAGCGGCTACTGTTCATCAAGTGAGAGATGCTTCCTTTGTGTCACATATCAACCTCTTCCTCTGTAATGCTTTGGTTCGTGGTTCAAGCAAATGGCGTGGTTTCTTCCCTCTCATCCCTGCCTCTCTCCCCATCACTTCCCACGTCTTCCACTATCTCCTCCCCTCCGCCCCCCTGTGTCTGCCTTCTGCCCTGTCAACCACGCTCTCTTGAAGAAGCACCTGGAAAGCATTCCTCTTCTCGCCTCCGCCCCCCCTGCCTCTGCCATCTGCCCTGTCATTGGCTCCTCCAACAGGGAGGAGCGGGAGGTGCGCAGGTGGCGCGCCATGATTGGGCTGGGCCCCATGGATTGGAATCTGTACCAGAGGAAGCACCCCCGGGAGGTCAAGAAGCGCATAAGACAAGGCGTGCCGGACTGCCTGCGAGGCATCGTGTGGCAACTGTTGTCTGGTAGCCGGGAATTCCTGTTGATGAACGAGGGCGCGTATGAGGTGAGCTGGGGTGAGGTACACCCTGGCTGTTAAAGCTGGCGGGTAAAAAATTATTGGCCTATTCTTACTTAATAGCTTTCCTCTTGTTGCTAATTTCATGTGCCTTGGAGTGCCCTCCCAAAGTGCCGCCTTTCCTGTTTTTATACTCGTTATTGGCAGCACATGCTGCTGTGTGAGCTGTCCAACAATGAGATGGACTTTATAAGAGATGTCAACCCTTTCGCTCCCTTTTGCCCCCCTTCCATCCCCATTATTGGCAGCACGTGCTGCTGTACGAGCTGTCGAACAACGAGATGGACATCATAAGAAGCACCTCTCCTCCCCCCTCCCCCCCCCCCTTTGCTCCTCTTTCATCCCTTGTCCTCGTTATTGGCAGCATATGCTGCTGTACGAGCTGTCGAACAACGAGATGGACATCATCCGCGACATCAACCGCACCTTCCCCACACACGTCTACTTCATGCAGAAGCACGGCCCGGGGCAGCGCGCGCTGTTCAACGTGCTCAAAGCGTACTCTGTCTACGACAAGAAGATCGGATACGTGCAGGTGGGGCTCCGGTAGATACACGTGGCTACAGGTAGGAAGACTGTGCTCTGGCAAGAACTTGGAAAAAGGTCTTGAGAGTGCTGTGTGCCACCTCCCTACCCTCGCCCCTGCGTGCGTCCTATCCCTCCAGCGCATGGGCCTCGTAGCTGGCCTCATGCTGCTCCACATGGCTCAAACAGATGCCACCGCCCACCGCCCACCGCTCCCGTCTCCCGCCTACCGCCTAACGCCACCATCTGCCCTCTGCCCTCTGACCTCTGCCGCCTGCCGCGTGCCGCCCAGCATTTGCTGTTTGCCGGCTGATGCTGCTCAACCTGGCGGGGGACGACGCCTCGTGTGCTCGTGTGTGCTCGTGTGTGCTCGTGTGTGCTCGTGTGTGCCGTCACTCACCCGTGCGTTTCTCCCTTGCGTGCTCTCTTCACAACTCCCCTGCCTCCCCTGCTCTCACGTCTACTCCCATGCACATGCACCACTCACCCCTGCAACCCCGCCAGGGCATGGGGTTCATCGCAGGGCTGATGCTGCTGTACATGGCGGAGGAGGACGCCTTCTGGCTGCTCGTGGCGCTCATGAAGGGCGCCAACCACACCTCGCTCGAAGGCATCTTCCTCGTGAGTCTGTATACCTCGCTCCAAGGCACCTTCCTTGTGAGCCTGTATACCTCGCTCCAAGGCATCTTCCTCGTGAGTCTGTATACCTCGCTCCAAGGCATCTTCCTCGTGAGTCTGTATACCTCGCTCCAAGGCATCTTCCTCGTGAGTCGTAAGAATCAGCCCGTATTCACTTCAGCCGTATTGAAGCACCAGTGCTGCACGGCACCACCCCTGTCTTGCTTTTGCATGCTTGCATTCCCCATACTTGTCCTTGCATTCCCCATACTTGTCCTTGCATTCCCCGTACTCGTCCTTGCATTCCCCCCTCTCAGGTCGGTGAACTTGAGAGGTCAACACTCTCAGGTCACCACCAGAAATACCGCTTCCAAGTGGAAGACTGCCTGCTGCACGAATGCGAAGCCTGTCGTGTCCCATTGTTCCCACTCCCATACAGGATACCTCACCCCACTATCACCATCACCCTTGGAACACCCCAGGTCGGCCTCCCGCTGCTCCAGCAGTGCCTCTTCCAGCTCGGCCGTCGTCCCTCATGGTCTTGGGAAGAGCAGCCCAGTTCCACCGCCTGCTGCACGAGTGCCTGGCACAGCACTCACAGCACCACCACTGACAGTTCGACTGTCGTCACTCATGGTCTTGGGACGAGCAGCCCAGTTCCACCGCCTGCTGCACGAGTGCCTGCCGCTGCCTTCATCCTGCTGTCCCATCTCCGTACCCCCCTCCTCTCAGTTCCGCGTGCCCCTGCTCCAGCAGCACCTCTCCCAGCTCCACTGCCTGCTGCACGAGTGCCTGGCACAGCCCCACTTCATGAACCCCTCCCTCTTCCTGCCTTCACATTCCCCTCGCCCTTGAAACCCCCAGGTGGGCCTGCATCTAGTGCAGCAGTACCTCCTCCAGTTCGATCGCCTGCTGCACGATTGCCTGCCACTCTCCTCATCCTGGCGCTGTCTTCATCCTGCTATCCCATCCCCTTACTCCCCCCCCCCTCTCTCAGGTGGGCCTGCCTCTGGTGCAGCAGTACCTGTTCCAGTTCGATCGCCTGCTGCACGAGTGCCTGCCGCAGCTGGCACGACACATGGAGAGCGAGGGCGTGACCCCCTCCATGTACGCGAGCCAGTGGTTCATCACAGTGTTCGCCTACAGCTTCCCCTTCGCCACCACCCTGAGAATATGGGATGTCTTTCTGTTCGAGGTGAGACATGCCGATGGGACCCTGTATCCTGGGTTGAGCTGTCTTCTTAGTCAAAGGGCGTGACCCCCTGCATCTACGCCAGCCAGTGGTTCATCACCGTGTGCGCCTACAGCTTCCCCTTCGTCACCACGTTGCGGATATGGGACGTGTTTCTCTTTGAGGTGAGGCGCCTTCAACTCACTTGATTTTAATGGTAAGGCAAAGGCAGCGTGACTCTGCAACCCCCTCCATGTACGCCAGCCAGTGGTTCATCACCGTGTTCGCCTACACCTTCCCCTTCGCCACCACCCTGAGATTATGGGATGTCTTTCTGTTCGAGGTGAGACATGCCGATGGGACCCTGTACACCACCCTGAGATTATGGGACGTGTTCCTATTCGAGGTGACGCGTGCTTGTAGGTGCTCGGCACTGTCTGTGCCTAGAGCTTCCTGTGCGTTTTGGGAGGTGAGACCTCGGGAAGTGAGACCTAGGGAAGTGAGACCTAGGGGAAGTGAGACCTAGGGGAAGTGAGACCTAGGGGAAGTGAGACCTAGGGGAAGTGAGACCTAGGGAAGTGAGACCTAGGGAAGTGAGACCTAGGGGAAGTGAGACCTAGGGGAAGTGAGACCTAGGGGAAGTGAGACCTAGGGAAGTGAGACCTAGGGAAGTGAGACCTAGGGAAGTGAGACCTAGGGGAAGTGAGACCTAGGGAAGTGAGACCTAGGGAAGTGAGACCTAGGGGAAGTGAGACCTAGGGAAGTGAGACCCCCCACCCCCCGTTTCACGTTTGTCTCTTTGCCCGTTTTTCCTCCCCGCTGCACCTCCCCCACCTGCGCCTGCTGCCAGGGCATGAAGACGGTGTTTCGCGTGGGGCTGGCGCTGCTCAAGCATGGTCCGAAGCACCTGAGAACTGACCAGCAAGCATCCCCCTCGTCCCTCCCCATTGCATCCCTTGTGTCTCCCCCACCTGTGCCTGCTGCCAGGGCATGAAGACGGTGTTCCGGGTGGGCTTGGCGCTGCTCAAGCAGCAGCAGGACGACCTGGTAAGAGCTTTCTTCTGACGGCCTCTCAGCCCTCTCTACTCTTCCACCCATTCTCGCTACACCTGCAATTTTCCGCCCTTCCGCCCTTCTCCTTACTGCCCTTCCCCACGAACAACCCTTGAGTGAGGCCTGACGCCCTCCCCTCCCATTGGATATCCTTCCCCTCGCCCCCTCCATCCCATGCAGCTCTAAAATGCCCTTTCTGGACCTAGTCCCCGCTGTGCGCATGTACCTTGACCACTCGCTCACTGTTGCCTTCTCCCTCTCCCCTCTCCCGTATCCCTGATCCCTCTCATCCCATTCATCGCGTCATCTGCCTCCCGCAGTTGCAGATGCCCTTTGAGGACCTGGTGCCTGCCCTGCGCACATACCCCGACCGCATTCTAGAGCCAGACACGCTGCTCAACGTCGCCTTCTCCTTCAATGTGAGCGCTGTGTCATGGCCCACTGCTCAGTGCAGGTAAGAGCCTTGTGCTGCCTGCCCCAAGTGCATACCCCAACTGTGTATCCTGGAGCTAGACACGCTGCTCAGATTCCCAATCTCCTTTGTTGTAAGCACTGCTCGTGGCTCACGGCTCCACGCTTGCGAGACTAGACTCGCAAGACTAGAGCCGGTGCTGCGCGCTTCTCTACTCGTCTCCTGCTCGATTTCTGCCCATCGGTGTCTCATGCCCCCCTCCTTGGTATCTGACCGGCTGAGAGAGCTAGAGGCGGAGTACACAGGCATGCAGCACCCGCCGCTGCCCACCGCAGGGCGTCCATGGGGAGGCTGAGGAATTTACACCAACTCAGACCCTTGTGCTTGCAATGCCCCCCTCCCTGCGACTTCAGGTGTCTGACCGGCTGAGAGAACTAGAGGCGGAGTACACAGCCATGCAGCACCCGCCGCCCATAGCAGGACCCAAGGCACATGGGGAGGCGGAGGAGGGGGAGAGGCAGGAGGGGCAGGGAGGGGAGGGGCAGCAACGGAAAGGTAAGAGAGAGGAGCGGGGGGATGGGGAGAGGAGGGGGGAGGCAATTCCTTGCCAATAATTCCTGAAAATTATTGTTCTCGATGAGGTGTTACAAGGGGCTGCATTTTCTGCTTGATGATTTATTTTTTTCCCCCTCGTGTTTCCACAGTGCTCCTTTTCAATTTAATATTTAACTTCTCAGCTGCTCTTTCATTGCGCGTCTGATTCCTTGTCATATCCCCTTCGAGCTGCATTGCAGGCCTTTCTTCCTTGATACTTCGTTTGTACCACGCTCACAGCCAGAACTCGCTGCACATTTCTTCCCGTCACTCGTCATTCACCTGTTCATCTTGTCCTTTTGAGTTGACTCAAAAGTCACTCGTCAGTCACCCGTTCATTTTGTTCTTTTGAGTCGACTCAAAAGCAGGGTCATCTTATCCTTTCCCATCCTCATTCTCACTCCCTCCTGCTTTACCTCTCCCAGGCTCCCGTTTCCAGCTGCGCCAGAGAATCAAATCTGCGTTTTCACGGCCGCCTATCGGTTGATACAGCCATTCACCCGGATCTGGACCGTCACCATTCCCATCCCACCACCACCCGACTCTTGCGCACATACCGCCATCTACACCTCTGTTCGACCGGCACATGCTGTCCTCGCCCCGGAAATGGCCACAGCCATCCAAGGCGCATGTAACAAACAAACTGTAACATATTCGTCAAGATACGCCAGGTACCTAGAATCCGCTCGGCGAGGAACAAGAAGCCTTGCTCTTTTCTCTGCTCGTCTACACTTCTCTCACTGGGGGTGGGTCTGCTCAATGGCTGGCTGGTGCTTGCTCTGTTCTGCTCTGCTCTGGCTCAAACATGGCTTATCCATCCACAGTAGTCAATTGATACTGGTAGTGTAGTCAGAAAGCCAGCATGTTGCAGCGCCTGCGATTCTCTGTCCTGTAGTCTGTGACTGGCAGGCAGTTGTCCACGGTGCAGACATGGCTGTTGGGAATCAGCTACCAGTATATACCTAGGATGAGGCTAAGTATTTGATTTATTTTTTGTCACTGGTTTCTCTGGGGACTGCAAGCAACACTGGGATTTCCCTTGATAGAAATGCTGGAGGAAGGGCGGCAGGCGCTGCTGGGTCTGTGTGTGTGTTTCTTAGGGGGGGATGCATAGGGGGGGATGCATCATGCATAGGGGGGATGCATAGGGCGGACGCATGGGGGCGGATGCATAGGGGGGGATGCTTAGGGGTTGGATGCATAGAGGTTGGATACATAGGGGGGGATGCGCACACAGTGCAGCGGATAGCTGCTGCTGTTTGTAAGAACCCAAAATACACCCGAATTCGAACCAGCCGTGTTAACACACACATCAAGATGGGTGCAGGTGCTTCAAACCAGCTGTGTACAAGTAGGAATTCCACGAGTGCTGCCATACTGGAATGGGTGTGCACTGCACTGGCGCTACGCTATCGGAAGAAGGGGAGGGAATGCCGCAAGTATGGGATCACTGCCTCAGCAGCACACCCCATCCACCCCAAGTTTTTTGAGTGGCTAAAACTCGTATTGTCATGTCACCGCACCATGGGCTGCAGCCTTGCACTAGGCCATGGAAGGAAGGAGAATGCTGCACGGCCCAGACAGCCGCCTAAGCATTACCTCCCAAGCCGCCTCTGCTGCTGCAAAGAGAGTGGGGATTTGAGGTGGCAGATGGGGGCCCAGCGGCCCTGCTACCCTCATGCAGTCACGCAGGAGGGTGACTGTAGCGGGGGTGAGGGAAGGGAGGGCGGCGGCACACTTGACGGCAGAGGGGAGGGCGGCTGAGAGGAAGTCGGTGGAAGCTGCAGTGTGGGTGAGAGTGTGAGAGAGAAGGTGAAGCACCTGGTTTGTGGAGAAGGGAGAAGGTGGGGGCAGGGGGGTGGGTGTGGGGAGGGGGGGGGAGGGGAATGGAGGAGTGAGTAAGTTGGCAGGCGCTACGGGAATGACGGGGGGGCACGACTCACATGGGAGGTCAAGGGTATTTTGAGTCGACTCAAAATACACCTGGTGCAGTGCAGTGCAGGCGAGCACGACTCACATGGGAGGCCAGGGGTATTTTGAGTCGACTCAAATACACCTGGTGCAGTGCAGTGCAGGCGAGCACGACTCACGATGGGAGGTCAGGGGCAGAGCATCGGAGCGTCGGCTCAGCAGCATGCAGCATACTCGCCCCACCAGGCTCACGCCCATGAGCTGGCGGCTCATGACTGGCTGCTGCAGCAGCTCCCGCACGAGCGCAGGGAGGAGAGCGCGGGTCGCGGGGGAGGCTGCAACCAGGGGAGGTACACATGAGAGGGAGAAGCCCTGCAGAAAAAGAAGGAAACAGAGGAAGGGTATATGAAGGCGGTGAGGAGCAGCCCAAGACAGGATTTCGGGTTTAGGGGCATGCGATGGGAGCGGAACGAAGAGGAGTAATCGAGGGCGTGCGGCCACAGGAAGCAGGCTGGGAGCAGGAAGGTACCTGGAAGGTGAGGAGGCGCAGCAGCCTGGGATGGTGGGCGATGAGGTCATCAAGGAAGGCGAAGAGCAACGACTGACAAGCAGATAGGTCGCTGCACCTCTGCACACCCTGCCACCGCTGCTCCTTCACTTGCTGCTCCTGAAAGTGCTGCTCCTGCCTCCGTACCCCCCCTGCTCCTCCTCCTCCTCCTCCTCCTCCTCCTCACTCTCTCTCGCGTCCTCCTCCCCCTCTGCCTCTTCCAAGCTCTCAGTGACCTCCTCCTGCCGCTGCCTCTCCTCCTCGCCCTCCTCCTGCATCTCCTCGCACGCCTCCAGCACCATCTGCGCCACCACGCCCAGCATGGCCAGCACCCCGTTCTCCACCTCCTCCCCACTCACCCGCTTGCCCAGCTTTGCCACCACGCCTCTGCTCAGCCCCAAACCCGAACCGACACCCACGCCAGGGCCACTCTGGTTGATGCCTCTGCCTTCCTCCTCTTGCCCTGCCCTTGCCCCCCTCCCTGCACTCCCCACTCCCTTATCCCCTTTCTCCGCTATTCCCACTCCCCCTCTAGTAGCGCCACTAGCCGGAGCCGCACCATTCGCACTGTTTGCACCGTTGGCACTATTCCCACCATCGCCACGAGTACCTCCTCCCACTTCCCCTCCTCCCTCTGCCAGCTCAGCAACGCACGCCCTGCAGAAGTCGTCCAGCTGGCGGGACAGGATTGGCAGGAGGAGGCCAGAGAGGAGAGGAGGGGAGCGGAAGAGGTGGGGATGGGAGGAGAGGAGGCGGAGGGGGCGAGTGAGGGCTTCTAAGGGGTGCGGGGGACGCACGGGGAGGGGAGGAGGTGCGGAGAGAGGAAGTAACGGAGAAGAGGGTAAAGGTGGTGTGAAGTGAGACGAGAGAA